ACTACTACTACTACTACTACTACTAATAATAATAATAATATCACTACATCTACTTTTCTCCGCCCACCAAACCACAATGAACGGGCCCTCTGTGGCCCGCGCTATGAAAGTCACGCAGTCTTTGATGCAATCGCAGATGATTCGGAAGGAAAATCCATTTTGATCTTTTTTTAGGGGCAAAGCTCCTTATAGCGGCACCCGTTCGTCCCTCGTAGCCATTGTAGTATGTAAAAAGTATAACATTTTGACCTCCAAGGTGGTGCCGGTGAGAGGTATCTTTTGTGCGTTGTTGAACAATGAGAAATAATACTCAATGTACATGCCAATAGCTGCTAATGGGGAATAAGAGACAGGAGCATTAAGCTTTTAGTTAACGCGCACGCTGCGATCCACATTAGCAGCCATTGGCATGTACATTGAGCACTATCTGACAAGAAAGGGTTGCTACGTTATACTGGCTGGGTGTAACCTCCTTGGTTTTAGAAAGGTTTAGCGAGCGTTGAGCCGCATTGCCATGAATACAATGAACTAGTATGTACCATGAATGAACTCGAGGTGGTTAAAGGTGGGAAGTAAATACGAAGCGCAAGCCGCAAGAAAGTAAAAGCGGAATTCTCCTGTCTCTCATTTCCCATTAGCAACCATTGGCATGTACATTGAGCACTATCTGACAGGAAAAGGTTCCTACTTTATACTCGCTGGGCGTAACCTTCTTGGTTTTAGAAATGTTTAGCGAGCGTTGGGCCGCAGTGCCATGAATACAGTGAACTAGTATATACCATGAGTTCGATGTGGTTAAAGGTGATAAGTAGACCCGAAGCGCAAGCCGTAAGAGAGTGTGCGTGTGCCACCTCTCGTTTAGTCCTTGGAATGTCCGCTGGATGGCGGTGCTTCTATATGGGGAATATATGACGAAAAGATGCGAGATTGTGGTACTTGGAGTGTTGAATAGATGAACGAACGGACACACAGACAGATGCATGGATGGACGCATGAACGGACGCAGGGGTGGATGCATGGACGAACGCAGGGACGGACGCACGAACAGGCGCATGCACGGACGGGCGGATGGACGCATGGACGGTCACATATACGGACGCATGGACGGACGGAAGCAAGAACGAATGGACGGACGAATGCTTCGCCCCACTCTCCATCATTCACTCCGTGGATATGCTGCCATTTTTTTTAAATCAGTTGATTGTATCAATCACGTAGAATAACAGAGAACACAGATAGTTGGTACGTATTGATTATAAAAAGACAGGGTGTGAGAAACACAGGCAAGAAGGAAGTCAGGTCAACGCTAAGGCCTACTAACAACTGACCATGAATGCGCTCAGCAGTGGAAGAGAAAGAAGGCACGAGAACTTATCTGCGCATGCTCACGCAATATGCTGACCTATCAATCTTGCACTCGCGGGTGTCTATGTGAAAGATAACTGTTAAGGCATTTGATTCCATCTTTGTTCAAGTTGATCGGTTACCGGCTAACACATACGCTACCACTATTATCGTCATGCCATGCCTCGATCATCACACGCGTTTCTTCCTTTCTACATCAAATCATAACTGCCCATTTGTCAAGTGTTGGCGTGCACTTACATTCTCGGCAATTTAAAGAAAGATTAAAAGGTCAGCCTCTGGTTAGCGATATTTTATGTTGCAACAATCTCTGGGGTCCCGACTTTTTTTTATTCAGTCCGTGTTTGCATGCCTTGTCTTCTAGAATGTATTGTTCATGCCTCCCGAGAACTTTCTGTGTTAAATGATGTTTTTCAGCACCCCCTAGATCGGACCACCTCTAAAGAAGATGAAATGAAGTGTTATGACGTCATTTAAACACGTTTAATTAGGCGGCTTCATCGAGTCGTGATAGTTACGTGATATTTTTATTTAATGTGATGTCATGACGTGATAGGGGCACGTCAGCGCGTTGGTCAGCTAATGTTGATGACGATAATTTTTTCATATCGTCCGTGTTGATGCCGGCGAATTTTCGCGTTTGATGAGGCATACAAGGATTGCGCTTAAAAAAAAAAGCACCCGTAAGGCACCAACACCACTTGACGTGCTTTTAGTGCTTGAAACTTTTGGATTCATTATAAATTCATACAATTTGCTTCCATTGTTAAGCCATGAAGAAGAAAAAGTAACGCCAGGCTTATGTGGAACATGCCACACAGACGCTTAAGAAGCCAAAGCAGATGCCTTTCTAGAAGAGGACAATGCAAAGGAAGAAAAGGCAGAGAGATCACCAAAAAGCGCCGGTGGTTTGCTACCATACATTGGGGGAAAGGATGAAGGGATCAAAAGAAAGACAGAAAAGAGAAGAAAGAAATGTCAGAGTGCAATTGGGCCGGTCTATTGCAGGTCTACAAGCTATTGCTCAAATTGATTAATACTAAAGAACAGTATCAATGCCCGCGTCGTTGAGCTTGCCTGCGATGCGTAGGGCCACCACTGGCCACGATTTGAAGAATTTCTCTTCCGAAAATGAAATGCTGTCTACTTTGTTCAGCACATTACGTAGAACATTGTACTCGCTGTCCAAAAGATCACCAAAACACTGCAGATGTTTCATTGTTTCTTCACTGCTGCACGAGTCACATCTGTTCGGCGTCTTCTATTCCTGTGAGATAAGAGTGCAACTTCGCGAAAGCCGTTCCTAGCCACAGGTGGCACAGAGAGCGTGGTAAACTCTATTGAGCTGCCAACTGCATGCCCAATACACCTTGAATCATCGTATTATTGCGAAGTTGGGGTCTACCATTTATTAAATTGTTCATTTCTCTTAGAAGAAGTGAGGACACTTGTGCAAGGAATTGTTACACCTTGTTGAAAATGTGGCTCACGACGACTAAGAATTACGGCTAAGCCTTTGGTAAAAAGGAAAAAGGCTTAAGCCACACACTACTTACACGATTCACGTTGTGAAACGTGCCTCTTAACATAACTGCTTGTCCGAAAGTACGCTTGAACAAGGTATTTTTTCGAAGTGAGTTCAAGCACCAGCATGGCTCTGCGGTTGAATGCTCGACTGTGGTGCAGAGAACGGGTTTAAGTCACCATCGGTCCTGGTTACGGGCACCATCTGTCTGACGCCGTCATTACAATATGCTGTTGTCATGCCAGGATTGCTTTTTCTCTAAAAAGTAGTCATAGGAAATGTTTACAAATTTCAAAATCTGACGGCCAAAGCCTTTATGAATACTAGACCCACGAGCGTGCAGTGATTGTGATGCCACCGTTTCCAGAACCTTCTACGCGTGCCGCTGACGTTCGCATCCTTCGCTACAACGAGATCTTAAAACATGGAGGTCTGGGGCTTTGCCTTGAAAAAAAAAAACGGTTGTTTGTGTGGGACACCTGTGTATCTTTCACAACAATTTTATTTTCTATGGCAAAATAAATGCACGCACGTACGACATTTTTGTCATGGTACAAAAATAAATGATAAGGCACACACGCACACAAACACACACAAACACACACAAAAGAAAACAAGAACATTATATTGAAATGACACGTGGGTATTTTTTAATGTCAAATGTGTGGAACTAAACATTGCTGAAGTTAGGTCATGATTAGAAACGGTTCCCTCCTGGCGCGTTAATTTCGACGAATCATTAGGTACCGGCACAGACTTCATACAATTAGTACGCCGATCCTGCCCTTCCCCCTTTTTTTCAAAATATTCGTGTTTTTAAAATGAAACAGGGCCAGAGGAGAAGCATGCGAATATTTTCACGCTGAACACGGCGCTCATATTATACCACTGAACGAAGTGCAAGAACAAGGGTGCATGTAGGTTAATAATTTCTGTGCCCTCTAAACTTACTTCTAGCAGTGGCGATATAAACTTTTTTGTACTTTTTGTAGGTCATTTTTTGTAAACTAAAGTTCAAAGCCTTCGCAGTAATCGAGCTTGCCAAAACTAGGCGTATTAATGACGCTGTACCAAAAGCAAAGGAGTAAATGATGATTGTTTCAGGGTTCGTGATGCATAACACAACTTCAATACAATTTAACATGATGACCCTACCGGTAGAGGACCAGGTCCGTAAAAAAGCTTTCTCTGTGCTACTGTACCGTTATGCTTATGCTCATAAACCAAACGAGTATGTAGGGAGGCTTGCCGCTTTTGCTCGGAAGTTATCTCCCGTATTCTGAAACAAGCCTCGACTCTAATTCCAGCCCCCATTTGACCAAGCAGAGCACAGCGTCGCCTCTTGACTGAAAATGACTAAGCGGCTCTCACGAAACGATGCCGGCTATCGCTCATATTCAGGGAACATTTTTACAGAAAGACTGATCTACCATCAATATTCTCGAGTCAAGGTGGAGCGCTGAGTGAAGGGACGTTTTACAAAACCGGGGTATGGTGTTTAGCAGCCCCAAATGAGGTTGTATGTTGACTTGACTTCTCACCTATTGCGTGGCTATTTTCGTGATCACTCAGCGGAATAAAACTTCGGGTGCAATTATGTGTACGTCAGAAACAGACTATTTTCGCACTGTAAGTAAGAATCCTATGATGTCACAATTAGTAGTGATCAATACAAAACTATGTGAGGAGGTTTTACGACCCAAATCATAACGTGATTGTGAGGGACGCCGCAGTGGAGGGTTGTGGAAACGTGGACCACCCGGAGTCACTTTAAACAGCTATATCTAAAAAAAAAAAAAACTGGCCTATGGCAGTTTGCCTCCATCTAAATGTGGTTGTCACGGCCGAGATTTCATGCCCTGACATTCGGGAAAACAGTGGCGAGTCTCATATGTATAATATTCACGCATCATAATAAAAAAGCATGTGTTCTTATGTGATGGCACCGATACGCATGAAAATAAGAAATTAGGTGTAGGTAAAAGATCACAAAACTAGCCAGAAGAGCCCTTGTTTGTGTGTAGTATTTGAATATGACCCCACATTGGTGTTCAAAGAGACTCAAACGACCACAAATGTTGCCCCCCCCCCCCCCGTGCTTTCTCTTTAGGCCAGTGAGCCCGAGATCTACCTCAAGTCCGGCCAATTCGCCGATCAAGGCTGGTCTCACGGTGACGACAGTGGACTTGACGAAGCCTACCTCGATGCTCGGCGCACGCACGATATCATCGAAAGAAGTGAGTGAGAAAACCCATAATTTTTCAAAGCCTCCTTTTTTTATGCAGCAGTAACATGGACACTGGAGACAGGGTTTTGCCACCGGCGTCGCCGTGGCCGTCATGTCCCTTATAAAGTGTAAACCGAGAACACCGCCCCACCTTATTGCATGTTATACGCACTAAGGACGAGAACTGTGGACGAGCATGACTGAAAAAGAGATAAAAATATTGCCGGTGTATCTGCGTGTTTCACTGGCAAATTTCGTCGAAACACGATAGTCTTCTGTCTGGAGAGATAGAATAAATCGTTTATTTGGTGTTCTGCACGAAAACATTGATGAATAGGCACTGCGTGAGATATGGACGCCATGTAGCAGTATTTTGAAGAAACTAACTTTTTACAGAACGCAAAGCCACAGATAGGTCACAGCGCCATGTAGCTTTAGTGAAGCGTAATAAACACCCGTTTTCTAGGTCATAGCGTTACATTGCCAGCGCTGCGCAATAAGCACTGCGGTGTTGAGAATCACGTATTTGTGCATTTTAGGAAAAAAAGTAACATACTACCTAATATTCCCGTATTGATACTTTGCCCAAATATGCGTAATAATTGTTTTTTTTATTGACAATTTTTACCAGTATGAATGAAGCCAAGAGATCAAGATGAGTAGTCTTACAGCAAGGTGTTAAACATCCGCTCTTATGGCTGAATCTAGTGACAGACAAGAAAATAAGGACAGACACAGAAATAGACAGTCCAAAACTTCTGAGTCGAAGTATCCCAATAAAGACTATCGTCTATAAAAGCCGGCCGTCTCTGTCGCACGGAGGGCACACGGTTTCATCGAGTGAAGGAGCTTAAAGGGGTGCTGCTAGGAGGAAGAAGGTGGGTTTTGTCTCTCGAGCAGTAGCTGCGAACTTTGAATATAAGGGCGTGTTTGCGACTGCTGGTGCGCGCGCTGTCTCAATGTAAATCTCTAGACGGTTCGCTTAAATGGTGGTGGGCTCTCATTGCATAATTTTCGTTGAGATGTTATACAGCACGAGAATACTTCGTTCCTTGGAGCAGCCTCATTAACTTTGGCCTGAGTTTTCTATAGTTACGCGAGATCAGATATAAAAGAAATAGCTGCTATTGCTACGAAGTATAACATTCCATTTCGAACCTATTGCATTCAGGGTTTGTCCTTGAGGTGAAGATAGGATTACTTTACGCAAGTCAAATATTTGAGCGAGAAATCAGTTTGCATGTTGCACGACCAACAATACATGCGACAGGTCTTGTATATTCGTACACCATTCTACTTCAGGCAACAACAGATATTATTTGGTTGTTTTTCCTGAAAGTAACAAAGAAGTGCTTTCTTCGCTTACCACTGTTCTGTTCCTGCCGTAATTTCGAAGCAAGATATGGCACTCCGGTCAGGGTTGTTCAGCTGAGCACGTTGCACCGTTGCTTCTCTCAAATGTAATTGAAGACTGCGAATCAGCATTCATTGTGCCATTCCGAACAAAACGCGGTCGCGAACACGTTTACAATGCCGAAAGCCAGCGGCGTTCGGGATTGATAGTCATTGCTCGTCCGAGAACACATTATGAAGATGCAGAGAGAGGCATATTCGTAACTTCTTTTTCTTAGAAATGCGAGTAACAAGTAGAAAAGTTTTGATAAAAGCTTCAAATAAATGAATGCAATTTCGTCACCCACCCACCTGCCCACGCACCTACTTTTTCACCCACCCCCTCACGCACGCTCACGTCTGTTCCCTCTTCAGTCTTTAGCGCTGCTTTGCCGCAATACAAGCTCTCTAAAGGCAGAGCATCCTTTACAGTACGAAGTAAAGTGGTCGCGTACACGAAGTTCACAGAGGTGGCAACGACAAGCTCTCTCCTGAGTCTACTCACCCGGGCTCACCCAGATTGAGGTATTTCCGTGAGACTGAGTAGGATAATTCTGACTATCTTCCAAGATAGCGCTCGTGACCTTGCCCTCACGATCATCATTCCGTAAGGCTGCTAGTGAGTGGCGCTCAGCATCCAATCTCACACTTTCCCAGGCGTCCGCATGCGTGCCTGACGATAGGCGGCACGAAGAAGACGCCTGACGATAGGTGGAAGGTACGTTTGCACTCTGCTTGAGGTGCAATCAATGAAAGGCTTTGCACCCGGGGTGATGTTATCGCATGCACTCCCCATGTTACGGAGATGGCCGGCTATTATCAAATCCACTTCGGCTGCGTTTGTGGCTAGCATGTTATGAACCTGGAATTCATGCGGAACATGAAGGTCTCTCGGTGGAAGCTGTCGAGAATGTCCTTATAATTGCTGTCACAAAAAATTTTGTGTTTGGTGTGTGTGGGTAAGTATTCGTGTGTGTGCGTCTCTGTGTGCGTGCTCACGCACATAGGTATAGACACATACTCATAGACGCCTACTCATTTCCTTAAATGTATGTCTCCACCTTTGCTGTCTTTTTTTTTCTTTTTTTGCTCTCTCTTTCTTTCCACTTGGTCGCTTTCTTTTTTCTTGTGTTTCGAGTCACCTCACAGACATATTCAAAGCTTATATATATTCTAACCTGCTTCATTATCAGTCTCATGGTCCTGTGTGACATGATATATCAACCACCAGCGGCATATGGCTGATCACTCTTTACGCTCTTTACATTATTAGACGCCACACTCAAGGCGCCAATAAACTTCGACGTGAGCCGGCGCGCATGCGCACCGGCGTGTGTTTATTCGCGTAACACCGGCGATGCCATGCCAGGTGCCGATATCCCCCTAGTAGAGATCAATGTATCTGCCCACTGACCTTTATTGTGCATCTGCGTGCCATATACTCGCAGGTACGCGCCGCGCTGCGTTGCGAGAAAGAGAGAGAAAATTTTAATGCGGAAAGGCAGGGAGGTTAACCAGAAAACATATCCGGTTTGCTACCCTGCACTGGGGAAAGGGTAAGGGGAAAGGGAGGAAGAGAAGCACAAACACACATACACACACTCGCACACAGTAGTGTCACAATCGTTCTACGAGGCGGGTCGCTCGCAGAAACTTCATCAGCGCCTTCGTTGCTTTCTGGCGTGAAGCTCGATCTTTCCGACATTCCAAGATTGACTGCTCAGAAAATGGCTGGTCGTCGAGGCGAGCAAACACTGCTGAGAGGGACTGTCGCTGAGAGCTGTACTGGGGGCACTGACATAAAATATGTTCAATTGTTTCGTCATTGTCGCAATGGTCGCATGTAGCGCTGTCTCTCATTCCGATGCGGCAGGCAAAAGCGTTCGTGAAAGACACCCCAAGCCACATACGGCAGAGAAGGGTCGTCTCGGATCGGGGTAGGCCAGATGGAATAGTAAGTCGTAGGCATGGGTCCAGGCGGTGAAGACGGGTGTGGAGAAAACCGGGCGTATTCCGCATAGACCTTGCGACATCCTGCGCAAGCGTATTAATCTTTGCTGCTGCGTCGCTTCTTGATAGTGGAATAGGTTCCATCACTCCATTTTCGTGAGCATTCTTAGCTGCATTGTCGGCATGCTCGTTACCGATGATGCCGCAATGGCCTGGTAACCACTGAAAAGATATGTCATGTCCTTCGTCTATTAGGTGATGGTACAGTTGTCGTATTTCGAGCGCCAATTGATCTTGAGGTCCACGACGTAGAGTATTGTGTAGACATTGGAGAGCTGGTTTCGAATCAGTAAAAATGCTCCATTTTTGTGGTGTCTCTTGGTCAATCCTGCGGAGTGCGCTGCGGAGTGCCGCGAGCTCCACGGCTGTCGATGTCGTCTTGTGTGACGTTCTGAACTGGATGGTTTCGGCTCTTGCTGGGAAGATCACAGCTCCTGCAGATCCTCCAACAGTTGTCGAGCCATCCGTGTAAAGTTTGACATGATCTTTGTATTCTTCGTGTAGCATGAGTAGAATCATCTGCTTTAAAGCTGGCGCCGAGAGCTCCGCCTTCTTGCGAATCCCCGGCACTGTCAAGCGCAGTTTTGGTCGGTCCAAGCACCAAGGAGGTGTTAGTATCCGTTCCGGAGGTGTGTAGGCTGTTGGAAGGCACTCACGGAAAGTCAATACTCTCTTACAGAAGGAGGCACTCGGTCGATCTTCTGGAAGCGAAGCTAGGTGGTGGGCAGGGGTGCGAGCAAGGTGTCTAATATGAGCTCTAAGCACCTCCAAAGTAATGTGCACTGTGGCCGGATAATCTTTGGCGATTGCGATGGTTTCCGCTGTTGATGTACAGCGTGGTAATCCAAGACAAACTCTGAGTGCCTGGCCCTGGGCGTTTTCTATTGTGCGTATACTGCTTTTGCAAGCGTTCGTCAGAACCGGCAAGCTATACCGCAGGTACCCCAGAAACAGCGTTTTATACAAATGCAACATCGCGTGCACTGATGTGCCCCACGTTTTGCCTCCGAGGAACTTGAAAAGTTGTGCGATGGCCGTTAGGCGCTTCTTTAGAGTGGCCACATGGGGACTCCAGCAGAGATTTCGATCGATCGTGACCCCCAAAAACCTGTGGGTCCTGGCGTAGCAGACACTGTGTCCATTGATGGCGATGGGATATGACGTCATTGCCTTCCGCGTGAACGCGACCAGCGCCGATTTCTCAGGAGAAATCTCGAGGCCTTGTTCTCTAAGGTACGCCGATATTGAATTCGCTGCTTTCTGGAGTCTCGCACGTACCTGAGGACGTGTTACACCTGATGTCCAGGCACAAATATCATCTGCATAGAGAGATATCTGCACGGAATCTGGTATGCGTTCAACGAGACCGATCAGAACCAGGTTGAACAGTGTGGGGCTCAATACACCACCTTGAGGAACACCACGGTGTGTATAATGTTCAGAAGTCGGCCCATCATCAGTTTGCATAAACAATGATCTCATATGTAGGTAGCATTGGATCCAGCGGTACACTCGCCCACCCAAACCAACTGACTCGAGGGCGTCAAGTATGGCTTCGTGAGAAACATTGTCATATGCTCCTTTGACATCTAAAAATAGTGCGACAGA